TAAAAAAAAAAAAAAAGAAAGAAAGGAAAGAAAAAAAAGATGGATACAACTCAACTAACCATCAACAGTGCCTGCCTGGCAAGTGCGAGGTCGTGAGTTCGATTCCTGGTACCGGAAAAAAGAAAAAGTGGATAAACAGAAACTTGATATAACATATACCGACTACAGTAAAACAGAGGAAAACTCACAACCCTCAGATATGGCACAGACAAGGTGTACTGAGCACACACATGCTAGGAGCTTTCTTCAGCACCCCCCCCCCAAGTTTTTGTCAAGACCTCCTCGAAGTGACCTTGGGAAGCACGCAGTCATTTCCCCAGGGACTGCAGGGCCACGCAGTAGGTGCTTTACCTCCATGGCTCCTTATGGGAAAAACCCTGCAGTTTGGGTCCCTGGGTTCATTCACATATGCAGAAATGAGCCTTGGAGAAAAACAGAAGCAGGCCCAGGCCAGCAGGTGCCTGAGCAGCTCGCAGCGCAGGCCTGGGGGAGCGCAGAAGCCACAGGGCTTCCCTAGCCCACGCTGTTTCTTCAGCCCAAGGGAGCCAAGGTCAGAGGACTCACAATCGGCTGGCGGGGCTCGCACAAGAGATAGATACCAAGTATCTAGTGTATGCTCAGCATTTTACCTGTGACTAAGGAGCAGAAAATACGAACCCTGGCCTCGCGGTTGGCGGAGGTACACAGGTCCACCGGGCAGACGCTAGCGCAAAACTACCTAGGAATGTATGGAGTCCGAAGGGAATGCGGGTGGGGTGAGGAAGGTAGGCAGATTTCTGAGGTCAGGCTTCCTAGGAAAGAGCTGCTGAGCCCATATTATGTTTCATGTGGCAAAAAAACTAATTGTGTAAATACGAGTGATCCTAACACAAACTCACAATCCCTTATCTGCAAGTTTGAAATCCAAAGATCAAAGATCTTAGGAAAAAAGTTGTTTTTCCCAGGGAAAAAGGATCCCTCCCTCCCTCCCTCCTACCCTCTGTCCTCCCTTCCTCCTTTCTTCCTCCTCCCTCTCTCTTTCTCATTCTTTCTTTCTCTCTCTCTTTCTTTCTTTCTTTTTACCTCTCTCTTTCTTTCTGTCTGTCTTATTTGGAGCTAAAGCTCTCAGCCCTGGGCTTTACTCTGTCCCAAGCTCCCACGCGTGAGTGGCCTTCTCAGGTCTGTTGCCAGCGCCCTTTCTGCTGAAAGAGGAAGCAGCCTCAGAAGATCCCCTTCGCCCACTCTCTATGGTCTGAAGAGGAACCTGGATGTGATTTGGATTTTTTGAAGAAATTTGCTTTGATGTGGTCCAATCTAACTTCTTCATTTGCTAGTTTGACTGGGACCGCAGGTAACTATACCTTGACCGAAGGGACTCTCTCAGCCAGGGACCTCTGAGGTGGGATTTCCCAGCCCTGGCTCCATGACTCCTGGGCGCTATCAATTACCTCCAGGGCTGCTGGGACCTTCTCAACGCAAAATTTAAATATTGACGTAAACATTCTACACAAATAAATCCGTGGGAAAAAATAAACTTACACCAACCAGTACTTTTTTTTTTTTTTTTGAGAATAGGAAGGGAAAAGAGAATCATACCCTTTGTAAAGATACCAGCATGCTAAATACATGGGCAAGCAGACAGTGCATAGGGAAGTTCTGGATTCTAGTCTTGGTCTTCTCATCCCCTTATGGTGTCACTTTGGACAGGGCTCTTGAGTTCCTCATGGAAAGGGGATAAAGGTGGGTCTGCTGCGGTTGTTGGGAGGCTTAAGCAAGATGGGGTCCATCAACTAGATTTGCAAATTCTAAGGCATGACAGTGAGAGGATAATTCTACCTCGTCATCATCCTAGAGCAGAAAACTCTCCTCCTTACTTGCCTTGATTCTGCTTTCTTGGTGGAGGGGGATCTGAGGTGCATCACTCAAGGCTCCTGATACCCATACTTCTCTCTAGGTCATGATTTCCATGTTAGTCAGGCTAAGACAGCCCATGCTGCAGTGACGAAGAAGTCCCCAAATTTCAGTGGCTTGAACAATAAGGCTTTCTTGCTTGCTCTGATGTAAATGGGCAAAACCTCTTCCATCTGGTAGCCAGGCAGAGGGCAGGGGATGAGATGATTGAGGTGGTGCAGCATCTCTTAACTATTTGGATGCAGAAGTGACACATGTCAAGCCGGACGTGGTGGCGCATGCCTGTAATCCCAGCACTCAGGAGGCTGAGGCAGGAGGATCGTTGTGAGTTCGAGACCAGCTGGGGCTACAAAGGGAGCTCAAGGCCAGCCTGAACTGCATAGTGAGACCCTGTCTCGAAAAAAAAAAAAAAAAAAAAAAGAAAGTAGTGACACATGTCACTTATAGTCCACTGGTTAGAATTATTCAGACGATCCCTCTCAAACTGCAAGGGAGTCTGGGAAACTTTAAGGCAGTGCATGGCTATTTAGGTGGGCACCAATAGATTCTACCTCAGTGTTTTCATTTCTAAAATGTGATGGTTGGACTGGCTGACCTCAGAGCAGGCACTACCCAGCTGTTTCTCTAGGACTGTGTGAGGCAGAGACCCGGAAGCTGATGACCCACAGCAGGTGATGGTTCCCTGGATTACCGCGCAGCTTCCCTGGGAGACACTGCACCTCTTCTCAAGTATCAGTTTTATTTCCCCACTGTATCCCAGCCCATCTCTGAGCTCTTTCCTCTCTGCTGTCCCTTCATGAACTCGCAAGGCCCAGATATGTCCAGCCTGGGAGGTTAAATAACCCCAGATCAGTGCAAATGCTTTCCCTTCTGGAAGATACGAGGCTTGGCTTGGAGTAGGTCAGTGATGAGGAGCTGACAACCAGGCTGCTGTGGGCTGGGGCCGCCTGGAACTACCTGGTCCTGGGGTCCCACTTTCCCTCTTGGAGGAACTCAAGAATAACTCTAAATGTGCCTCATTTGCTCTCTCTTCTCTCCTTCTCCATTTGGGTACCCCACCCTTTTCCCAATCTGGTGAGATCCACATTGATCAGTAGAAAAATAGCTGAATGGTTAAAGATGCGCATTGGAATGGCGGAGTCTGAACTGGCCCACCGGAATTGCCTTGGGTGTAGTGCTCCTCAGCTTCAGCAGGGGCATGTGAGAAAGCCCTCAGAAGGAGGGGCTGAGGTGCTCAAGCCAAGCCTGGACCATGGCGTCAGATCACATGTGTGGGTTGGACCTCATGTACAGCCTGCAGTGATAACTGGCTTCTGCCTACTTCAGCAGGCTCAGTATCCACCTTCAATGTCCTTTTTGCTAGGGGATCCTCACTGCACTCACCTGGCCTGTACTCTGGCTCTCAGCAGGAATCTCAGAGACCTCTGAATATGGCTTCTCCTCAATTCCTTATCACCACCGAGCACGTTGCCAGCCAGAGCATCTCCCCTGCCAGGGTGAGGGGCTCCCAACGCTAAGTGACTCTGTACCCCAGAACTGGGATGGCTAGAGAAGCCGTCCCTCCTGTGCTCTGTCCAAATTCCTGATTCAGAAATCTGTGAGCAGAAGAAAATGGTTGGTGTTTAATAGCACCAATACAGTGGAACCTTGGTTCATGAGCTCAGTTCTGTCCATGATTCTGGTCACAAACTGGACAGGATGAGAACCGAAACAAATGTTCACGTAAGGTCAACACTGACCATAAACATTGAATTTGATTTGGTTCTTGTTCAACTCGGTTTGTGACCAGAATCGTGGAAAGAATGAAGTTCTTGAACTGAGGTACCACTGTAGTTTATTAAATAGCCACTGATAACTGGAGAACCTCCTCATCCATCCAGCTGCCTTTAATGTAAAGATGGATGGATCAATGTCAAACCAGGGAGAGAGGCCCCTGGCTTGTAGGGAGCAACAGCTGTAGCAACAAGAAAGATAACAAGATTTTTGGGAAATGTGGATATGCAGGGGACAGGGATGCAATCGGTCCATTTGGCCTAAGCTCTCCCACCTGGTCGTCTAGCTGTCTTGGCGAAGAAGAGCTGCCTTTGGCCTTGGCCCCTGTTCCATTCTTCAGCAGTATTCATTGCATCATTCTTCTCTCATCTCCAGGACATCCTGAGCATCTCATACCTGCCGTCCTGGGGCTATCACTGTGGTCAGTTGATGTGGAAATGCACCTCTGCTATCCTCCATCAAAACAGATTTCCTACCGACTTCAAGATTCTGCAGTTATCTCTTGGTCTTCTCCTCTGCAGGTTAAATGATGCTAATTCCCATAATTAATTATACAACCCAGTCATCATGACTCCTTTTGAAAACGCTCCAAACATCTCTCTTAATTTTTAGGGCTTCTTTTTTTTACAGCTAGAGGATAAGCCCTGAGTATGTAGAGATAGGCAAAGAGATTGCTGCATGGTTTCTCTCTGCTTCGCTGCTCGGATTCCTGTTTAATAATCGTTGAAATCTCTCACGTGTCACTGTTATTTGCCGTTTATGGAACACCACCATGCCCCTTATCTCTGACCATCAGCCCTTCTCAGTCATCTTATTATTTCCACTGATTCAGGCCACTCTGGGCCCACTGCAGTCTTTATTTAGATCGCCTTTATTATACCTGTGGGCAGATTTTGTAACCAGGCCTCAGCACAGGTTGATTTGTGGGTTTCCTTTACAAAGGTCAGTATGAAACAGGAAGTGTGACTAAGAAAGTCTACTTCCTCCAAGAAACCTCACTTCACCAGCTGGAAAAAGGTGCCTATCTGCTCCCCCAGACTTCACCGTGGCCCAGATGTGTTTCATAACAGTACATTTTCCCCAAGCACTGGAACGTGCCCGCTAAGACTCACGTGCGCAGTGAGTAGTGATTTGTCAGCTCTGCTCCGTCTGAGGTCTGTCCTCACCCCGTGTGTGCCGTCTGTCACATTCTTCCTAGAATCAGAAGATGGGCAGGACCTGAGAGGTTCGAGAAAACTTGTGACCGACCAGTTAAGACGGGAGCTCAGGAGCTGGAACAGTTAGTGGTGCTCATACCCACTAGGGCAGAGCTGCATCAGCCCAATCAAACCACATGCCCACCTCGCTAAGCATGTTTCCTTCACACCAGACTCACCAGGCAACGTTGCAGTGTGGATGCACGGTTGTCAGGACAGGACTCTGCGTGAGTTAACCTAGGATTCCTGACCGGGGTCTCGCTGGGAGGCGGCAGTTGCTGTCTTTTGAGCCATTTGGCTCGTGACCTTGTTTCTATTTCCTCATCTATAAAGCAGAGAACTATTAGTCCTTACCTTATGGAATTATCATGCAATGCAAATGAAGAGATACACATGAAGCATTTAGAACAGCCTCGGTGTGTGAGTGCCCTGTCTGTGTTAGCTATTATTATTCTGGTGGGTTGGTGAGCTTTCCTCCCTTCTATTCAACTTGATGAGAACCTGGCACTCATCTCTGGGGCTGTGAAAATGGACACATTGAGTCTCCATCTTAACCTTGGCCACTCTCCCAACAGTCAGCAGTTTCAGAGCTGAAAGAAATAATCCAGATGGTCCCATGCAGAGTCAGCAGTGACGGGGGCAGGGGTGCCTTTGCGGATAGGACGTGTGGCAGGGGCCCACCCTGAGATGGTCTGTTCCAGGAACCCTGTGCAGTGCCCACTTTGCAAAGACTTCTCCAGCGTCCATTCTGGCTTGGCCGCTGGTACTGTTACTCAGAGACTGGACTGAGGAACAGGAGTTGAGGGCGTCGCGTGCTTACAGAGCGGGCGGGGGTGCTGGGAGGGGAAGCCATCGTAGGGATCAAGCGTCCTGAGGCCTAACTTGACCCGCTCCATCTGCAAACTCCCAATGTCTTTGCTGGGAAATTGCTGGAGTGGGGGAACCCTACTCCAACCCTAAAAGTCACGTAGACACTTCCGAGCTTCCAGTTGCTTCATTCTGCCCAACAGCTTCCCAAAAATGTAGACTTGCCACAGCAGAGGAAGGACAGATAGTCGCAGTGTGGAGCTCTGTGTCAGCAGGATTTACTAGGGGCTGAACCAGAGCTACAGCTGTGTGTGTGAGGAACTTAGCAAGGCTCGAGTTTTAATGCAACTCATTGCACTGCGCTCTGAAAAGTTCTTGAATTATGTACCAGTCTGCATTCTTCTAGGGCCAACGCGAACTTTTGGGCTCGGTGCCAGTCCATCGCTGTCCTCGTCCCTGTCCACACACCTGGGCCTAGGACTCTCTTTCAGAGAGTGGAGCAGGTGTGCCCGGGTATAGCGACAGCCCTTGCACGCCTGTGTGCTCTGCACGGGCACTGTCTTTCCTCAGATATTCTTGGTGAATAGGCCAGCAGCCTCTACTGGTGCCCGAGGTGGACACCGGTCACAGCCGGCTGCTTTGCTGCAAGTGGAGGGGGTTGCTGATTTCTTAGAAATGTGTTCAGTTCCTAAATGAGATCAGAATAATCCTTAGGTTTGATATGGATATCTACCTGGAATCCACTCCATTTTAAAACAAAGGGCAGCCAGGGATATAGCTCAGCGGCACAGTGCCCGCCTGGCAATTGCAAGGCCGTGAGTTCGATTCCCGGTACAAAAAAATAAATAAATAAAAAATAAAACAAAGGGCAATGCACCAAACTTTTCATTGATTTCTAGCTGATTTGCAGCAAAGTGAAATTCCTAAGTGAAAAAAAATTGTGAGAACTTATACATGGGGCTGTTAGACAGCTCCCATTCATCAACCTAGAATTTAGAAACATAATGCCTTGATTTTCCTGTTTCTTACTTTTGTTCCAAAGTTCTTTATGCAGATCTGGGAAGAAACAGTAGGGGGAGAAAAGCAAGCATTTGTTTGGGGGTTTGAAATGGGGAGAAAGAAAATAAGCGTTTCCAGCTCTCAACGTCCTATTCCCTGAATGTTTTCTAAGCCTTAGAAAATGTCTCCAGTGGTCTCCTGACTGTCTTGAAGCCGCTGCTTCACTTTTCCTCCAGCTCGGGGCTCAGTCGCAGCTCAGAATACCCACGGCGCTCCTCGCCTCCTGGGTGTGGGCTGGGGGAAGATGTGTACGCAGGGAGAGGAGGTGGGAGCCTCACTCCCTGGTGGAGCCGCGCGGGCCACACCGCCTGTCTCTTCCAATTAGTTCCCCCAAGGGAACAAAGCCTCACTTCTTTCCTTTCTTCGTTCCCAGGCGCTGGCTGGGGAATAACAGTCATTGGCAGCTCAGGGGTTAAACATAACGCACAGTGAGGGGGGAAACAAGCCAGGCAGCTGCAGGGGCTCCTCAGAGCCCACTCCAGGCTAAACAGAGGTCTCAGCAACTCCTTGGAGACTTGAACCCTGGGCGATGGAATTTTCCCTTGCAGGGAGGCTATTGTCCTCTGGAAAGGGCCAGGGCCAGAGGAGGGCCCGGGAGCTTGATCTCGCTGGGTCTCAGTCAGGAGGCTCCTGAGAGCCCAAGGGCTCTGTCCCACCCAGCTGGGCTTGGGTGAAAAGGCAGAGTGTGGGGGTGGACAGCCTCCTCCCCCACAGAGAAAAAGCAGGGGAGGCTTGCCCAGGGGTGTGGGGTGTGTTTGTGTGTGTGTGTGTGTGTGGGGGGTGTTCCGAAGGCCTGGGCACCAGTTGTTGCCCCACTCCTCAGCCCCAACCAACCCAGTCACTGGGATGGAATAAAGGGCTTGGTTTCCTTGGCAACCGAAGGGGCTATGGTTTTTCACCAAAGCAAGATGGGTATGTGGGAGGAAGGGAAGGGAAGGGAGGTGGAAATGGGGACAGAGGCTGAGGAGGGGGAGGGGTGGAAGAGGCAGCCTGCTTCCCCTGGCTGTTGAGTTGAGTCTCAAGGGGAGCTTTTGTAAGTTCTGGCCTGGGAAGCATAGGAGACCCTCAGTATCGGGGTGCTCTTGATGGCTTCTCAGTTCTGGGGCACAGTCAGCAGTCCATGGTGGGAACGGGCATGTGTAGGCCTCACCTTGACCTCAGGGACAGCCTGGGACAGTGACACCGAGCCCACCTTCAGGAGTAACTAGGCAGGGCCCTGTTTTATAACTGGAGCCTCTGGAGGTGTTGATCAAGGCTCGAGCCCATCGAGAGCTATTTGTGAAGCGGAGATTAGAATAGCAGGCGCCTGTCTCCCGGGTCTGATCTTGCTGGACTAGACAAAGCTATTTTTAATATTGAGCGGGAGAGCTGCTGAAACACAGACAAAATGCAGAACCTGGGCTGATTTTGTCTCAAGCACTAGGCTTTGTGAGGAGTTTACAGTCTGTCCACATAGTGAACAGATGCGGCTGGCCTCAGTGAAAACAAGTGATAAAGACAGGAGACTTTGCCCCTGGGCTCTGAGATGAGAGGTCCTAGCACGTGGTCAGGAACACAGAGGTGGAGGGTGCGCGGGAGGCTTTATCTTGTGAGGGCCGCTACCCGGGCACTGACAAAGGTGCCTTGTGTGGTGCCTGTGGAAGTGTGACATCTACCAAATGGATAAAAGCAGCAGGGCCGAGAAATCGATACGCCAGTTTAAGAAGAGAGATGAAAAAAGCGGGTGTGGTGGTGTACCTCTGTAATCCCCGTGCTCTGGGCGGCTGAGGCAGAAGGATTGCAAGTTTGAGCCCAGACTGAGCAACTTAGTGATTTAAGACACTATCACCATAAAAAATTAAATATTTAAAAAAGGCCTGGGGATGTAGCTCAGTGTCAAGGTACCCTGGCTTCAATCCTCAGGAGAGAAAGGGAGAGAGAGGCAGGACAGAGACACAGAGAGACCGAGAGATAGTATTCAAGAGTCTGAAAGTGACCTTTTAAAAACTGAAAACCAAGGGGCTGGGGATTTAGCTCAGCGGCAAAGTGCCTGCCTGGCAAGTGCGAGGTCGTGAGTTCGATTCCTGGTACCGGAAGTAAAACAAAAAAACAAAAACAACAACAACAAAAAATTGAAAACCAAACCAAAAAAACCCCAAACTTCACGGAGTAGCAGATGAGAAGCAGGTTTCCGGCTGCTTCTGGTGAACAGGTTGGCTGGGTTCTTCTGTTTCTATCTGAGGACCTTGCAGTGGGGGCAGTGGGGGTAGTAGGGGAGCTCACCGTGTTTTCCCCAAGAACGTGGCTGGGGCTGTCACTGCCAAGTCCTTCCTCACGCATTCCTGGGTCAGTTCCCTCCAAGCCTGGCTCTGAAGGCTGGGTGCCTCTGAAGGACACAATTTGATGAAACCTAGGAGCTGGATCCTGGGTGAGGAAAGAGCTGGGTGGCAGGGCCCTGACAAAGACACAACCTGGAGCCAACCAGATGGGTACCTGCTTTAATAATCACAGACAGCAGCAATAAGAAGGTCGAGGAATCGCTCATCGCCTCATTAATTTACTTGCCCACTGGTGGGTTGGCGGAGGAACCAGTCCAGGCAATACAGAATAACAAACTACAAACTCACTTTTGCTCTTTCACATGTTCGTGGCCCCTTGTAAGTTTTATGACCAGGCAGTGAAGTTGGTATGATGATTATTTCCCTGTCGTAGATAAGAAAATTGAGGCCTGGCTAGCTTAACTGACTTGAGCAAGATCACATAGCTGGAGGTGGAAAGAATGGGGTTGGAATCCTTTCCGATTATCCTAGATCTGTAGAATAGCCTGCTGTCTGTCACAGAAGCACTTTCAAATATAAAACCTCTCTAGTTTCTCCAAGCCACTCATTAAGGCAGGAGATTATTCCCATTTCCAGCCACAGAACTTAAGGCCGTGGCATTCAAATGACTTCCTCCAATCTCAAGACTAGTGTGTGGTAAAGCTCTGTCTGTCCTGGGGCTTTTCCCACAGTAGCCTATTGCTGATTTCAGGCTCCATTCTCCTAGATCCAAGACAATCTTCATGTTCCACACTCCCTCATTCACTAATTCTGACGTCCAATTCATTTGCAAAGCACCCACCATGAACGACAGGTCAAAGAGAATGGAAAACAAATTAGACTTTTGAGAAGTCCTTGTGAGGAAAGAAGTTTTATAATTTCACTGTTTTATGTCCAATGTCACCAATGTGAGTGGAAACTTTTTTCAATCAATGTGCTAATTGGTGTTTTTATTCCATAAACAGATACATTTACAACAAGGAAACTAAAATATGAAGAACTAGTGAGTCACAAACATTTCCCAGATCCCTTGCTCTTTAAAATGGACAGAGTGATTCAGTAAGGTCTGGCTGGACTCATGGTGACACCCGTATGAGACCTTGTAGTTCCTGGGGGCAGAGGGAAAAGTGTAGGC